ATTGAACCGATCCGAACAGCAGCAATCGGCCCATCCCACGGCACGTCCGATACGCTCAATGCAGCAGAAGCTGTAGAATCAATAATATTGCGATTCTCTTAATCCATAAAACTTCCGGGAAAAAATCAGATTATAAATTCAACGAAACTTGAATTTGCTGTTCGTTTCTTTAGTGCAAGAATCTGGCCAGTGTAAAGGGACAGATTACTTGATCATCAGTTACAGTATTGGAATTCGACATTTCAAAATACAGCATTACTGTCAATGAATTCTTACCTGCATTGATCGCAACGATGTCGGGATCGTGAACGCCGTCCACAGACAGCAAATTGCATACTAATTGCGTCTCTTGGAAGTATCCCACAGGAAATACTGGCCGCACTGATCTGTCTATGGAAATCAAGAAGAATGGAACGCAGAATACGTCATAACGACCTTGCAGTTTTCAATAAACGGCCAACTTCAACTCAAAAAAGACGACCTTGACAAGGAATTAGCCCGTTCACCGACTTGAAGATTTTAAAAATTGTCGAAAAAATTTCCCGAATTCTTAATTCCAGATAAAACATTTCAAATGCCGGATAAATTGCTGTCAAGCACAAATTTGTCTTCCAAGCCATTGATTGTCACCGTCTTCACCAACTCGTGACCGTGAAACAAACACGACCGAGCAAGGTCACTCGCGCGTGCGCAGCCATTGCTTTTCAACAGAGCTCTATAAGTACAGTACAGTATAAGATCGCTTCGTGCGGTTCCCTCAAAACCACGTGTAGACGGCACAGGGCACTTCCCCGGCAGGACGCACCCCACCAGTATGCCTTACCTACAAGGATGTACTCACTAAGTTATTTCTTATTTTTTATTAATTCTACTTAGTTCTAATTTTTACCCTGCATCACCGTTTATTACCCAATAACATGACTCTTGTAGAAAAGCATATATTTATTTGACTTAGCACACTTACGCCCTTCCTCTTACACCAGAACCACTCCAGGCACATACGGTATCACGCAAGTTACTGTATTTCAACTAAAGAGCTACAAAATACAGAACTTGGTTAAATCCTCAATGGTCTATGGTGCAGTCTATGACTCCATGGTACCCGGAAAGCGACGCACAACTTTTTTTGTGGCAGATATTAAATTTTTTCAAAGCTTTGTTGACGACATACGGAAACAGTCCAGGTCTCTCAAATTCTATGCATCGGAAAGCTTGACATCAACTGCATTTTGAAGAGCTTTTTTGCAGATGTCCAAAAAAATGTGATATGGGTTTGCAATTCCCACAGACGACTGTGATTTACCCCTTTACAATATTACGGTAATAACATCCAAATATTTTTATACTGCATACATACGCAACTTTCTCGACCCTGCGCAATTTAGTACACGAAAGGCCGTACTCTGATTTTGGGCAGCCGCTTCTAAAAAATTAAATAAGCAGCGACAAATTTGGAAATTTTCAAGAGGGAAGATTGAAAAATAATTGAATGATGCCTGAGAACTTTATTTGAAGAATTTTCACCTAGAGAAAATATCTCAAATGTACAGTATGTCTCAACTTATGAAGAAAATTAATTCGAAATTTCAACGAACCTATCATTCGTCCGGCGAGAATTTCTCGTTCAGAAGAGCCGATTTCTCGTCGCAGAAAGTTGGTGGGAATTCTCCCCGCAGCTGCAGCCTTCTGCCGATAATCCACTGTCAAAGGCATGAAGCTCTGTCCGGGAGACGCAGCCTTCGATTTACTCACTACAGTAACCATAACGGATGTGTCCCCGACTCGGGCTACAGCACTTCCATCCGTCATCCGCGCTAATTTCCCCGTCGTCAACTTCAATGGACTCCTGCAGAAATAGCATTCAAGCAGTAGACAATTTAAGACACATCTTAAATTCTGTCGTTTCTTCAATCATTTCTTCAGA